GTTTTGTTTTTTGTTTTTCTCCCAGCCGGACTGTCGCGTTCGTTGGGGTGATCGAGATGTCACCACCCGAAAACAGGAACGCAGCACTCTTCAATTGCTTCTTGGTGGTTTCCTATTGATTCCACAAGGCGCATCCTGCCGGTGCCACCGGTAGCGAGTTTTAACATGACCCAAAATTTGACACCAGATAGGCCGCACGTTGTTTTAACCCCAGTTTAGCCGCAGTTCCGTGTTTGTCCTTGGTTAAGGAGTTGGCCATGGCCGGTTTCTGCTCTAGAAGCATGTTTTTTTTGGGGGTCGATGTTCTAGAGATTGCAACAACAGATATTCGAGTGAGGTGAAAGACGTATGCCTCCTACCCCCGTCCGCCCCTCCTATAAGTTTGGTACAAAATATTCTATCAGTTTTTAAGAAAACCCGTCCGTTTTTCTATGGTCCGTCGTGGGCTTCCGATCTACTTTGTCACCCTGCACTACGGTGCACTTTTCTCGGGGTAGAAGGGGTTGTTCCAAATTTCAAAAGCACCGTAAAAAGCCGTCTCCAGGCGCAGAAATCTAAAGAACGTTCTTTTTAATGCATTATTCCTCGACTTTTTATTTCGAAAAAACCACAAATGTTCGTTCATAATCTGCCGGAGGGTCTACTTTTCAGAGAAAAAATCTGAGACCGGATTTCGATAGCTCTTGGAATTCGCAAGATGAATTAACTTTCCGATGTTAAAAATGTAAAGAAATCACAAAGTTATACCCCGTAAATCGATTCTGGCGAGGCATTTTTTCACAGTCGTTTTGTTCACAATCGTTTGCGAGAACCAACTTCACCATTTGAAAATAAAGTGCGGCAAACGATTCCTCTCGAAATTCCGCGGATGGATTTTCTTTCGGATTTTTCATAAAAACTAAATTTCATGAGATATCCATAATGGGAAAACGACACAGCAGGGTATACCCTTGGTCGAAATGCGACACACCTAGGTACACAGTCATTAACAGCTGAAAATGCACTAATTTGATTGGCCACCGCCCAACTTCACCCCGATGTGTCCGAAAAGGGGCAGGGTATACCCTGCCGTGACCACTTTTCTCAAAAACTGGACCCTGTTTTCGGACACGTACCCTGACCTGTCGGGAAATCAGACCCTTTCATCAATCATTTCCCCCGCAGGAATCTTCCCAACTCCTTTTCCCCTCCAACCATGGGATACCAACGGCGAATCTTCCTGCCCAATAACAACCATGGCAACGGGGTAGGAATCAGTTTCCGCCCCTACGAGACAACACCAATCATCAACTCTTCCGATCTAAATCAACAATGGCCGCCGGGCAATACCTCAGCACAATTCTGTTCCGTTTGGAAACATGCACACACGGGTACGATACCCCGTGGACGACTGCTTGCTGCAGTGTATATGCGAGATGCACGGGTCACGCTATGAAAGCGAGACCGATCCTGCATGGTTGACATGCATATATATGCATATATTTGCCAATGTGTCGCGCTGCGCTGAGCGGGCGGAGGGGAGAGGCAGCACCAGCACACACAGACACGCCCTTGACATCAATCATGGAAGGAGGATCGAGCGGCAGCGCAGGAGCGGCGTCCAACTCAATCACCCTCCCTGTCGCTTGCCCGTGCTCGCGGTGTTATAATTCATCGGCTCATCCGCTGAAGAAGCCTGACGTCTTCCAACTACATTGATTGATTGATCGGGCGGCTTGGTTGGCTAGTAAGAGCGACCGCTGCTGCTACAGCAGTAGTCAAGCAACAACCACATCGCAATTGCGACACAACAGACAACACACACGCACACACGACAGAGGCAGGAGGGAGTGGCGGCGCCCAACGTTACCCGTGTAGTGTTATGTGCGCATCCTCTCCTCCAAGACGCACACACATCCAACATCAGATCACAATATGGACTGTTGATGACCTTGTGAGACCATGTCCTACGCAAGCAATTGTTTTGCGGGCCCTTGTTTTGATGATGCAATAGGTGTTAGGGTTGTTGTGTTCGCAAAACTCACGCACTCGGGGCTCAAGCCTCACTCAACTCCACCACCATAACAATTCTGTATCATATCTATGTTATCATGTGTTGCATCGGTTGAACCCAACCTACTGTTCAGTTGTGAGCATGCAAACTTGCTGCGGGGATTGCAGGTGCACCTCCTCAGGCAGGCGTACCCTTTCCTTGCTAGTAGTGTGTGCGTTCTTTAGATCTTCTGATGGCTCTAGCATTTTTGTGACCACGGACCGAGTCTTTGCTAGATGTTGGGATTAGCAACTGACACGAGTTTAATGTG